CTCATATGTGGGATCCGAACCGGGGCCCTCTGGCGTCCCAAGCCAGTTCTTAACCAACGCGCCACTCGGCTGGCCCATCAGGCTTTTTTTTGTTTGTTTCAAGACCCCCCACACACACACACACTTCTCTTGCTGAGACTGTTTTCCCAGTCTCTTCTATTCTCTCTACCTCCAGCCCACTGTCCACACCTCTAGAGTGGTCTTTCCCCTCCAAATCAGATCTTTTTTTCTTCCCTGTTTAAAAGCCTTCAATGATATCCTATGGCCTAAAGGAGCAAATCAAAACTCCTTAGCAAAAGTGCTTCTTGAGCTAGGCCATGCCCACCTCCCAACCTTATTTCCCTTGCCTCACCCCCTACCCCCCTTTTGGCCTCAAAGAATCCTTTGCAGTTCCCCAAATAGGTGGGTTGTTGCCCCCTCCCCAGGCCTTTGCTCCTGATTTCCTTCTGACTACGACTTTGTCAGCCAGCTATCCCCTGCACTTAGTGTACATCAATCATATTGCAAGACACCTCCCCTTTTAGGAAGTGTTCTCTGACTTCCTCAATTGTGTTTCCCTGTATCCCCGTCACCCTTCCAGCCTGTATATTGACACTTTGCAGAGTTCCTTGGTTTATAGCTCTCTTTGCCACCAGGTAATGTCCTCCTTGAAACCACAGCCAGTGTCTGATTTACCTCTGTAACCCCAGTGTCCATCACAGAGCTGACCCAGGTTTATTGACTGCCTGGTGCCCTGGGAACTGGCCCAGCTTGGTTGCTGTCTTCCCAATTTCCTCAGCCCAAAGGATTCTGATCTAGGTATCAGTTTCATTCTGTCTCCATGCACAAGTAGGGATTGATGGGACTGCCCATCTCCTTCCTAGAGGCCTTTCCTCTAGTCCAGCTCTGTGGCTGGACCAGGCAGGAATGAGGGGAAGAAGGAGAAAGGAAAACAGTGGGTGTCCATTGCCCCAGAAGTCCCAAAGGTTGGAAAATTTCGGGGCATTTGTCATCCCAGGGGCTCCCTGACAGGCAGGGATGCCTTCATCTCCTCACCATGGGTCCCACACGCACAGAGGCCTCCATCGGCCCTGCTGGATCTCACTCTCCAGCCTGGCATCCTGGGGGAGCCAGAGCACAGGGGCTCGAAATGAGTGAGACCGGGGGAGGGGCGCTCCCGGCCCTTGTCCTCGCAGGGTCCTCGTCGGACCAGAGGGGAGACGCTCCCATTCACCCTGACTCCTTCCCGTTCCTCCAGTCCACATTTCCATTCTGCATTCCTCTCTGCTTCTCTTCTGCACCACCCCCGTCCTCTTCCCGCTTTCTCCTTTTCTTTCCGTTTCGTCTCCCCAGTCGCAGGCCTGGGCAGCCCAGTGCGGGGGGCCTGGCCCCTAGAACTAGCAGAATCTGTGTTGCGCCTCTCTGTCGCCGCGGGGAGGAGGTTCAGGAAATGCGCCCTCCGCTGGCACCCGGTCGCGGTTCTCGCTGCGTTACTTTTTTCTCGCAGCTTTTGCTGGGCGCCCCGGCCTGGGCGCTGGGGACTTGCAGCGGGTGGGGGAAGTTGTCCGAGGCCCTGCAAAAGAGGGAGCTTTGGTGTGTGTGGGGTTCCTAGCTGCCGGGATGCTGGTGTGTGTGGGGGGTCTGTGCTAAGGTGGCCGAAGCCTTCCCTCCGGCTCCCCGCCTGTCTTAGCTCCCGGGCAGGAAGTCCCAGGTACCCAATTGGCTCCCAAGAGAGAGCTTCGCGCCTTCTATCTTCCCATCCCCTCCCCAGCCACGGATCCAGAATGACACCCCCCCCACACACACACACAAACACCATTCCTTACAGGTGCAGATACTCCTGTGCGCCCCGCGCCCTGGAACTTCAACTCGGAGTCCGGTTCTGCGCGCGACCCAGCCTACAGCCCCCAGCGCACAGGCTGCGCTCCCGCCGAGGCCTCCCGGTCTGCGGCCCTTATGCACGAGCCCTGGCCGCCGCGGGGCGCGCTTTCACTGCTGAGCCTCGCAGGGGAGTTTTTGTAGATAAACAAAGCGTTTGCTCTTTTGGTTTTCTTTTATTTTCTTTATTCTTTTGTCTCCTCCTTAATCTCCCTCTTCGCTCTTCTTTCTTCTCTAACTTCCCTATCCCCTCCTCATTTTCCCTTTCTTTTCGTTCCCTTTTCTTTCCCACTCTCTCTCTGCCTCTCTTCTGTCCATCATTTTCTGTATCTCCTTCTATTTTGGCCCCTTCTCTGCCTCTGGGTCCCTCTTTTTCTTTGGGTCTCCCTTCCAGGACCCTTCGTTGTCCCGTTGTGCCATCTCCCTACATCATTTTTCCTGACTCCGCCGCCTCTTTCTCACTTTTTCGTTCTCCCGGCGGCCCCAGTCTGGCGGGCTCAGTCCGGCTCTCCCGCCGCCTCCGCCGCTGCAGTGATTTATTCGCCTCACCCGGCAGAATCAGGTGCTGAACCGAGCCCCGGAACAGATTTCTCCCAGGAAGGGTTTTGTGAACTAAACGATGCTAATTATAGGGTGAGGGAAGCGCTGCGCCAGGAGGGGAGGCACGCCGGGCCCGGCCCAGCGCGCGGGTCGAGGGGAGAGGTCCGGGCCGTGCCTCCCCTGAACCTCTCGTCCCGGCTTTCGCTTTTCCCTGGGAACTTTCCCGTCTGAGTTAACTATTAACCGCTGGCGAGAGGCAATTTTCTTCGGAATTTCAGCGATTTCCTTTTCGCTGTGGAGGCAGATTAACATGCAAATTGTGAGATGCTCGGCTTGAGTCTGCGCGCGGGCTAGGATGCCTCTGCCCCTCCAAACAGTGTCCTTCGCGACGGCGGAAAACTACAGCACCGCCCCCACCCCAGTGCGGGCGCAGGAAGCCGTGACGAAGCCAATGCCCGGAGCGAAGGTGGAAAAAGCCCAACGCTCGTGCTTGGGGGAGGGGTTGAGGGGAGCCTAACCCGGGTCAGTCTGGGGGACCTCAGACTCGCGGCCGGGCACGGCCACCGAGGAGCCTGCGACCAATACAGCCTGGTCTCTAATCGGAGACCCGCGCTCGGGGACGCTCGTGGAGGAGTTGGCAAACTCGGGGGAAAGTCTTTTCCGCCTGCAGAATCCCCCAGACTGTTCCTCATTTCCTCCTTCTTCGCCGCTGCCGAACACCCCCAAAACATAAGTACACACACCCTGCTCTGGCTTGTGATCGCTGTAAACTTTGTCAAACTTCAGCCACAGGGCACAAAGTCCTCACCTTTTCCTCCTTCCCTCTCTTGCCTGCCCTCTCTTCCAGGAGCAAGACCTGAGGGGGTCCTCGGCCCCGAACCTGGGCCCTCAGGGGACAGTTTCCGAAGGTCCAGGCCTCGCCTTGCTGGGACGTTAGCTTTCGGCAGTCCACCAGGCTGCCGGTCACCCAAAGCGTTCCACCGCGGAAGGCGCTAATGGTTGCAGCGGCGTGGCTTGGCAGGGCCCTGGCCGACAGCCCTGCTGCTGCCCCGGCCAGGCCTTCCCAGGGCGCCCACCACGGCCCCTCACTATTGCGTGGGGCCGTGCTGGGCTCAAGCCCCAGTTCAGGGCTGCCATCCCTTCGCACAGCCGACCTCTATGCGTTCTCATTTTTTCTAGCTTATTTCCCCGAGTCCTCGTCCGGGGTTAGCTCTCTCCCTGCTCGCTTCTCCGGCTCTGTCTCTGGCGGGGCTGCTTCTGTCTCTCTGTGTCTCTCTTTGTCTCTCAGTCTCTGTCTCTCTTGTTTGTTTCAACGCGCGGACACTGATTGCGCCTTATGAAGTTCTAACTGGTTTTGTGTCAGGAAGATCTTTCTCGCTGCTACCCAGCCTGGCGTGACGGATTAAACATCAACTAGTTAAATAAAAATTAATATCAACTGCCTCCTAACTTCTAATGTCATGTTGTTTATAACTAATGAACTGATTAGGGGATAAACACATCATGGAGACATTCGGTTCTCCTGCCTGGGCTCCACCGCCGCCCAGTGCCCACTCCCCAGCAAGGCCTGCCCCGCTGCCAGGTGGGGGGTAAGGTGGGGGCTGGAGGCTGCCAGCTCCCTGGGGCTTACTCCTCTGCCTGCCTTGGTCTATTTCCCTCTCTTTCTTTCTCTTTCCCCTCCTCTATACATTTCCTTTTCTCACTCTCTTTTTCCCTTCTTTCCNTCCTGCGCACGTTCCGCACCCCTCACCCCTACCCTTAATCGGGCCGGCCGTCCAACATCTCGGCCTGGCCCGAGCACCGGCGCCACCGAGCGTCCGGCTCTGCACCGAAGGACTCAGAGGAGCGGCAGGGGCCGGAGGAAGCCAACCCTTCCAGCTCCCAGCTCCCACAGGTGTTGAGGAGCGCCCCCAAACACCACCCCTCCAGCCTGTGAAGACATATATAGGGGGTCCCTATTTTGTGCCAGGCGCGGTACTGGGCCCTCTAATTCTCTCATTTCCCCATACAGACGGGATGAGCTTCCCACTTCTCAGATGAGGAAACTAAGATTTAGAGAGTAACTTGTCCTTGGGAGGGAATATATTTACCTCAGAGATGCTACAGGCAGCACTGCCTTTCCCATACACCTTTCCTTGAAGTGAGGAAGGAGGCAGTAAGAGAGAAAGCTCCTCTCTCTAATTTACATCCATCCAGTCACCTTCATCCTAGTGTCTTGTCTGAATGATCTGGCGTGTTGCCTAACACCCTGTCCATCTTGAAGGAAGATTTTCAAAAGGCTAGGCTGCAAACCAGGAAAGCATGCACCTAAAAGAAGTCCACAAATGTTTTTGCTCCATGGTACTTGCTATAGTGACAATTTTGAAGAACTCCAGGACGTTTAGAAGAGGCCATTTTTGTGTAGAATTGGTTAGATTCCAGTCAAAATGAAACCCCTCTAAATATAGGCCCAGACCCCTCTGCCCCATACACACATATTCATTCCTGCACTATCTACCTGCATGGGTTAAAAGAAGGCATTGACAGTCTCCACAGACTTGGATCATTCCAGAACTTCTTCAACTTCTGTCTTGTTGCAAAGATAACTCCTGCCCAAAGTGCGGAAAGACCTCTGTGGGCCTAGAGAAAGGGTGACTATAGGATGGTTCCATCATATAGGGGGTGGGCAGCTCTCTGGTCACAGTGAGGTCAATTCTGAGGACAGCCACAGTGCCTGTTGTGTGAATCCCCAGGAGCCAGAAGAGAGAATGGCCTCATCACTAGGATCCTCTGTGCTCCTCTGTAGTCCTCAGGATGCCTTGGCCCAGCTCATGTGGCTCTGTATGGAATAACTCAGGTCAGGCCCATGTGTGGAGCATTAGAGCCAGTCCAGGAAATAATTGTCCGTGGCTGGTGTTGAGGATTCAGGCTCCACCCAAGCCTGATCAAATGCTGAGCCCAGCTGGGATGAGGCATGGAGGTGATCCCTCATCCCACTCCATATTGAGAGGCTGCAGGCCTGGAAGCTGGAAAAGCCTGAGGCCCATGGAGAGAGACAAGGCCTGGCTGGGAAAAATCAGTCTCCCAGTACAAAAGACAGCTCTTAGGGTGGGGCTCTAAACTCCCTGCAGGGCCAGGTGAGGGCTGGTGGCCCTGCAGTCTAACAGACTTGGCTGGCTGATCAAGGGAGCCAGCTCTGAGTTCCCAGATTCAGTGGCCCTAGGCAGAGAAAAGAGCATAGAGGTGGTGAAAAGGGGTTGGGGTGAGGATCTGAGACGGAGTGGGGGAGGAGGGCTCCTGGGTTTCACCAGGATGCCCTAAGGAGTCCTCTCAGACCCTCTTAATCTCAGAGCCACGGTCAGTCTCTTCTCCCTCTGACTGCCCTTTGGGCATGAGGAATATATAGTATAGCATGTGCTTAAGAGTGTAGGTTATGAGGGCAGTATCTGGGTACAGATCCTACCTTTGCCACCTACTGGCTATGTGATTATAGACAAGTTACTAAAACCCTCTATGCCTCAGTTTCCTTATCTTGATTTCTCCAAAGTATCCCTCTATTACTGCTCTTTATTCCCCTGATATCCCATTCCTGCATAGGAAACAATGCTCAATCAGTGTATGCAGAGGTCTGGGCCTGGGGTGGGCATGGAAAATGAACTGATGTGGTAAAATATCTATGTGTCAGGGGTTAATCTACCCTTTAATAGCACTCAACAATTCCATAAGGCAGATATTCTTTGTCCCCATTTTATAGATGAAGAAACTTAGGCACAGTGGGTTCAAGGGATGTGCCCAAAGTCCCATATAAGCAATATGTTTTAGGTCTGAAAAAGGTGGTGTCTACCTCAGGA